TTCATTGCAAGCATAATCTGGCGGTCACAGTCGTGGTTTTGGATGGGGAATGACAGCTTACAAGGTGTTCTTCAACTCAGCTGACGAGGTTGCTTTACTCTTGGAAGCACACGCATGAGAGACGGTACGACAACAAGTGTACTATGCGCTTCAAACACTAATCTGGTTCAGTTATTAGTTTTCTTCTTCCTCAGATTTATGGAATTTGGCGTTCTTTAAAGAATCTGAGAGGTGACGCGTATCGAGTGTATGCTCTCTGGTGAGGTGATTTAAAGAAGGATAAAGTCTATAACTAGGTGAAGCAGTAGTGAACACCTTGAAAGTTCAAATTTTTGGAAAAAAATTGTGTTTATAAAAACCGAGGAAATGTGAAATGATGTACAAGTGGTCGTATCAGTTCAACATGCATCGAATCCATTTTCAGTTTTTCAATAGCAAATTCACGGTTTGTCCATGTGAAATTTAGGCCATTTTTGGGATGAAAACTCCTCGCGTGCGCAAAACACTATGCACCCTCCTCGGAATCCCAGCTGTTCTTCCAGGTGTCGAGATATCTAAATTTGTTTTGCACAGACACATCTGGACGCACACACCTTCCACTTAAAAGGTGATGCACGAGTGGCTTGTAGCTTACTTTGCTTAATTAACTTTCCAACCACCTCGCTTAGTTCGATAAGTAAAAGTACACTTGACAGTTTTCATCGATTTGTTTACCCGCGTCTCGTGCCATGCGTATGACCCTGAAGCACATCAAGTCAAGTCGTTTTTGCGGAACTGTCAAGTGAGAATGTTCCCATTACGTACAGTATTTACACCTGCACTTCAGTCCAGCTGACAGACCCGCGCGTACTCACAGGACAGGACTCTACAGGTTCATGGACAATCAAGGGATCTCATTGCACCAGCGTACTCCACGCACATACCGCCACAAAACAGCCCTTTTCCCGAGCGTCACCTTGATCACTTCGCTGCAATGTCGAAAGCAAACGTGTTTCTCCGTCTTCCGCTGTATTTGCATCGGTTACCCCGTAGCGCCTTTGCTGACCCGTTAAGCAGTTGATCTACCTCAGCTTCTGCTGGGCAGATAAGACAACAAATACAGGTTGTCAGTACTTTGCTTTCATCTCTTCCGTCGCAAAACAAAGAAATATCAATTTTGCACCATAAATAGGGATAAATAGCAATAGAGAAGTAGGATGTAAAAGGTCGTAATGTGGGCCAATCAGGTCAGGTTCTTAATTTCAGGCATAAGCGGTGGGGTCCGACAATATGTTTTGTGCTCAGAGGTTGGATCGACATTGATTAGTCAATATGTTCCCAGTTGATTATGCGCGGTAAAATTCTGAATACTGTACAGGGATCATTTCTGTGTTCAGTGGGTAGAATGAACTTGGTGACCAATTTCACCTCGAGAGAGGATGAAATTGCTGTTCAGATACTTTGAGAATGGACTCGATACATTTTAAAATGCTTCCGGGATAGTTTTAGATGATTATGGAACATATAGACGTGGATTGGGGAAATCGAAAAAGTTATGATTGGCTGGCCGACGTGTCCTAAGAACAGCATACTGAACGAGTAAGATGGCCGAAGCCGGATCGCAACGAAGGGATTAGTACGATGTTGACCGAGTTACCACTTTTGGGCGGAACCATCTTTGGAGAGAACTATAGTCGGAACAATTAGATATAACGAGAGGGAAATTCACAACCCTTCATCTCGATCGTGTTGATTTTACGTGGCGACTTCTGTCTAAGTATTCTTCATTATTTGGTCTTAACCTTAGCTTGCTATAGAAGATGACCATAACAAAATGCTATCAGGTCTAAGCGCAGTTTTCATAGGCCAGCATTACGTAAATGGATATGGGCAGCGAATTCGAACTTCGGCAGTAAAACTCTCTTCAGTAACGTGTCTCAGCGACCCGAGCCGATATTGCTAGTATGTGCATGTCACAATGCCACCTCCGCGAACCATTGACCTAATGACCAAACAATACAGTAATGTCGAGGCCTCGGTTGGCTCATCTTGTGTTTGAGTTTTCATGGAGTTGTGAAGGGTTCACCCGTGCTTTAGCTGCCTTAAAATATTTCCCAAAAAGGACTGGAGTTTTAAGAGCAAGAATGAGGCGCCACATCGCCACTCACCGATTTACATTTGTTTGAGCTCTTACAGTGTGTGAGTTGCACGTCCGAAAAGCGATTTATTTTCCTGAACAGATGAAAATCATAACCGAACCAGCAGTTATCGGCATATATAAGCCATGTGACCAAGCCTGTCTGCTATAATACTGAGCAAATCATTCATCGCCACCAATGTGTGACCAGAGTAACCCACGTTGCTTAACATATTCACCCTATCTCGTCGTTGTTGGATAGATTTCAGCTCTGCATGCCTGATTTATGGAAGCGGGCGTTCTCTGGGTATTGGTAGGATAACAGCTGTCGGAATTTACGGCAGATTTCGATGGATTTTGTGCCCATCCAAAAGGTAAGTGGTGGAGAACTTTGTCCGTTCTATTTCTTAAGGAGGAGCACTATATGTCCGCGTGAATTCGACAGACAAGGTCATAGACAGCTTGTTGACAAACGAATGCTTTTGGTACTTCTTTATTCGGTTAAACAGTTCAAAAGAGCATGGCGTATAAACTTCAATTCCAGATTGAGATGGGTTACCAGTTTACACATAACGACCAGTCTGAAGAATCAGTGACAAGAGCGTGTGTATTCAGTAGGCGTCAAGTGGTATAGCAAGGCTATTGGTGTGTGTAGAGAGACGTTCTTAGTCAAACCAAGTGTAGTGTGAGCACCACCAATTTTATCTCCAGTAAACTGATAGCAATTGACTCTTTTGTGGCCAAGACTTGCTGTTAACTTGTCTCTCACAAAGTAGTCTAGGTGACTTTGAAGGCCGCCTTTGCTGCAGCGTGTTGCTTGCTGTTGACCAAATGAGGAAAAAAGTAGCTGTAATACACCTTTCCGAGAATTCCTCGGACGAAATATGCTCCCGATCTACCAGGTGCCTAGATATCCGAAAAACACACTGATGCAAAGCAGGTAAAGAAGCACACAGGTATAAAAAGGTCTCTTAGAGGGGTCGACCGTGGTTTTGTTCAAAACTCCCTTCGTCGAGTTTCAGCTAGGAAGGCCAGCGGCGGCAAGCGCTTTACAAGGGGTCTATCTCGACCGGTTCGGCTGCAAAGGTCCCCGTTAAATGAAGATTTCAGTGACATTTTTCTCCTCTATGCTCGGAAGTGGTCCACTTTTCGTGCTTCTCTCAGCAAATTCTTCAGATACTGGTCTGTTTTCAGCATGTCGATAAAAAAATTTAGTTCAGTGTCCAAAGTGTAATCCCAGCATCACCGTTGCTCATGCGGACGAAGAACGGAAACAGATGTTCTCCTACTGTAAAGGCACAAATCTAACGAGTGTTTCATACTTCTCCAGCCTGCTTTTAAGAAGTTACCTGACCATCCAAAAAACTGCTAACCCATCAACCTGGGGGTAAAGTCTGCCATTGAATTTAAGCCATACATTGAAAGGGAACTCGGGAAATTCCCTCTGATTCGCCGTAGATGAAACCAGCTGTTTGATGGCATTCGATAGAATAACTCGGGCTTTTAATTTTTTTCCATCAAGAGAACATCTACGAACAGGGCAAAACGTCTGAAATGTGCGAATGTTGTCTGATAAATTCAGGTCTTGAGTTGACCTTACAATATCAAAGATGATTTCGAGACTATGGGGGAAGGTCGATGAAAAACTGATTCCAGTGTGTCAACCAGCAATTTAGCGGTCACGTGATATGGGGAGTTACACCTGTCTAAGAATGTGTAAAGAAAATTCCGCTTGTAGATCTGGAAGCTCGTACATCCATGAAATATTGGATGCAGTTGGTTTCAGTGCTTCGAACGCCTCTGTTCAAGACATTCATCATTTTTGTCTTTATCACCAGTCTTGTTTCGATTTGTTCCCGAAAAAATAATTGTCTCGAGGACACTATCAACTGCGTTTCACTAGTCAAGCCTACCCTGTTCTTTATGGCTAGACTGGCACCTAAGTCTGGCGTCGCTACCAAGATGTCCCTGTCCGCTCTTAATTTCTTCACATTCTATGGTTCTCAGGATTGACAGAGCTTCTTTCTTGAAAGGTTATTCGATAGCCCACGACCGTTTTCTTCTTTCAAGATGCTCACCAACAACCTTATAAGCAATATATTACTTATATACAGTGTATTGCGATGCTAGCGTATCGTACCAAGAGAGATCTGAGGCGGTTTGGTGTGGCACATACTGTTGAAGAATATCATAAACGAGAGATTCAGCTGGGATTCACTTGAGTCACCAGTGAAAATCAAATGGGTGTACAAGTGAGTGTGTTTTGCTATTCAATGTTTTCCTTGGTGTTGGCACTATTCGCGTCGATGGACTGTAGACATCTCCGAAGTGAAGCTTTACAGCTAACCGATCGTCGCTGCATGATAGATCAGCGTATTATAGAAACTTATAGAAACTAAGGCGACTCGGTTTCAAGCTTGAAGTTAGATAACTTATGGACGGACAATTTGAGACAGCCAGGGAAAAGCTGCGATAAAACCGTAGGCTAATGTTGATTCGGCGTCGGTTCTTTTTTTATACATTTCTTCCCATTTATCAAACTTCTGGCACAGCCTGTCGTCTTGTCTGTCCAAGACTTCCAGGCGCTATGTAAGCATTGTTGACAGTCTCCACTGGCTTCGAACTTGCTGTATCAATTTGTCTACTGGTACTCTTATAAGACCATATAGTTGATTGAATACGGCTTTGTCGGAAACCCGTCTATGTGGGTATAGGATACTGGCTACCATAAATATTATCTGTGGAACTGTCAATGAGAACCATCATCTGAGCATGGACCACTTAAAAAGGGAGGTCATTGTAACTTCGGAGATAGTGAAGGATTCCCACAAAGCCATAGGTGTGTTGACCAACGAGCCTCTTTCCTAATTGTTTTTTCGTTCAGCGCAGTTAGAAGTAAAATTCGAATTCACATAAGGTCCCCTAAAATATGGGCCGCTAATGTGAGATAGTGGACAACAGACCACCTTATGCCTATGCAGTTGAACAAAGTCAACAGAGCCCAGTAAAACCTGAAACCAATTAGAAGGATTCATTTGTTTAAATGTTTAATATTATATAGCTCTCTCCAGACTTGCTTCCAAACCGGGCTTCAATAGGTTTTCAGTGTATTTGAAAAGGGAAACGAATTTGTTGTTTCTAAATCCATGCTAGTCCTGATAACGGACTGTCTCGTTTTCGGAATACCCCAATTTGGGAAGCAAGATACCTGTGTCATTATACCCAAGGAAATGGTCGCACTGTGTTCTAGCCATTGGCCTTAGGTAGACATCGAGTTGGCTTTTTCAGCCGCCCATAGAAATCACGTGCTCAGCAACCAATGGAACACATTCACGCCTTTTAACACAAGATTATATCATGTTGCTGTAAATCCGGATTACGCAAGAACATTAGAAGGCACTAAGTAATCCTATCTGAGTAAATCGAGAAGTAGGCAAGTGTGGAGATAAAAGCTCACACTTTATGTGAGCTTGAACGGCTCTCTTTAGTGTGGCAGAAGCCAAAATACTAGGAACGTTCATCAGTAAATTTAGTGAATCTGAACTGAGGCGTTCACGTTGCACTGAAAATGTCTACTAAACGTAGCGTATACAAGAAGAATAGCCCGAGTGACAAGCTTGCAGTATACCTATCAGCACGTGACATATTTGACGACCTTGAAAATGTGGACCCGATTGAAGGAGTTGTGACCACCGATATGGGGAGTTTGAGGGAAAGCAAGCTGTTTGCTCGAATTCGGTGCACTTTCCGGTATGGAGAGCAATCGATGGATGATGTATTGTCGGGAGTGGCATTCTTCAAGGAGTTTCTTATCGAGACAGTCCAGCTTTATCCTTCGGAAGACAAGAAGCCACCAGAGTTGAGTGACGTCCAAGTGAGTCTAATAACATACGTTTTGTGATGTTTGGAATTGAGCTCATGCGCTTGAATAATGATTTTCTAAAACACTTTGTGATTGCACAAACATGTCTTTTGTGTAGTCAGCCAAACCCCTATAATGCGAACTAACTTTGATCGGAAGATGAAACAAATACACTGACTCATCTGGGAATGACAAATATCTCCGCCTGACACCTTTAAAGTCATTTTAAGAAAAAATGGCAAACAGACAGAGATGAGAGCGAAGCATGTCTGAATGCTGGTTTGTTCGTCTATCGATGAATACCGGAACTGAATATTTCGATTCTTCCGCAGTTATTATTTCATGAAAATGATAGACTACTTCTCTCAGAAGATAGCAGTGCAAAGCTTCCAGGAAGCTGAAGGATAATGAACGGTGCCCGCTGTGACTATGGTGAACTGCAATCTGTACGACACCACTCAGTTTCAAGCGCAAAAGACAGGAAACACTCCCATTTTAGGGAACACAAAACCTAATGAAAGCCACAACATTTCAGCACGGTTAGCTTCAAGTCTCGATGCCTCCTGCTACCTCCAGATTTGATAGATAGTGAGAAAAATACCGACATAGTGCTGTGTTAGAATCCATCTGAAAGGACTGACGTAAAATTACCGAACAAAAGTTGTTTGAAACCTAAGTTTGACAACAGAAAGGGTATTGATAGTCAGTGGATATAATTGAGAAGGCTTTTTGGATGGATAAAGAATTGAAATAATGCATTGGTACGTGAAAACGCCGAGCGCAATGAACACGTGATTGCTGAATCGCTATCAGTGATTTGCGTCTCAGTGATGAAAATAGGCCTTTGTTTCTCTAAGCACGCCAACTGAGATGAAGCTGATGGCTTTGAGAGTAGCCCAAGATGAAAAGATAATGGGTATCAAAATTTCGTCCCCTTCTAATGCAGCCAGTTAACTCTCAAAAAAGTTTGCTCGTTTTTCAAGTACAGAAACTCCCAAAAGTAAACGATACTTCCAAGAAGGCAATTTTGGAGGCGTGAATGCTTTCTAATGAAACCCATTCTTTGTCCAGAACCGAGGAGTGGACGCATTTCGATCCCAAGATGGCTTGTTTACACAACTTTTGCCATGCGATGTCGAACACTTTGCGGAATTCATAAAAATAACCCTCTGTTAGTCACAATTGTGTCAATCATTTCACTAACTTTGAACGTCTCCATTCACCCTGAACCAAAAATCTGCCAAAAGATACACTTAATTCGATTGTGTCAACTCGTGTAGATTTTTACAGTGAATCTAGTATGCGGGAGAGGTCATGCATATGGTGAAAAAATCGGTTACCGCCACAACATAATGACTTTAGAAAGGATTGATCTCTCACCCATTTCAGTCAAATCGGGAGGGGACTGTAACTTAATTTCTCGGGTAGCCATATCAGCTTTACAAACATTTGAACAAAATAGACGGTCAGGAATAATGAATAGTAGTGACGTCGTTCATGTCCTGTTTCCAATGAAGGTTCTTCCAAAAAAACAAAATGAAGGTTCTTCATAATACGATGGAATTCCGAAGAATGAACTGCATACGAAAGTGAATAAGTAACACATAAGATTCATGTGAAAGGGTCAACGCTGAGAGAAAACTGTGAACTTGGAACCCGGTTTGAGGGATAGTGAATTAGGGTGGAGCATTTTACTTGAAGACTTTATCACAGTATTTTGTGGTTCATTTAAAGACTAAGAGTGACAATACAAACAACTTTCGACCAATACTTTATACGCTAAGCTAACACAACCGACTTCAGTCTACGACAACCAATTGTTCCTAGACTGAATTAGTTGTCGTCATGTTGCTCATCTTGCGGTGGTATGACCAATAGGCATACTGAAGTTTTAAATGCTACTTTATTCAGTATCAGTAGTGCAAAAGGTCCGGGAAATCGCTGCACACATGTTTGCGAATCAGACAAATGTTAGGTGGAACAAGTTACACAGAAATGCTGAGTAACAAATGCGACCACCAGGCCGGCTTTTGTTCGTGAGGCTAATCGTAGTCCAGTACAACCAGTAACTGCCCACCAAATCCAACATTATCTGCTGATTCGTTTGTGGGGAAACTACCGCCTATCTGGACAGAACTACGACCAAGAGTGGGTTCGCACATGCCGTTGAGATTTAGCAAACAACTGGAACAATCAGAAGCACCGACGCGTCAAAGCCAACCAGGATCACAGCCTACACTCCCGAAATGGTCATTTGAGTAAGGAGCATCGGAGCAAGCATCGGAGCGATCCACCAGTTGCATCTGATATTGCATTTAGCAGAACAAATAGCAGAATCCTGAAATGTACTAATACCATTGTTATTCAAAAATAGAGACTGAATGTGTGCAGGCGGAAACACTCTATCATTTCCTGAACTCAAATTGCGGATAACTCCTCTACAGTTAACTACTGGTTTCAGGCTTCATGGGGCTCATCACATAGACGTAGTCAACCTTGTATTCTACTGGAATAATAAATTGTACGCATTGGAATACGCAGTGATAAAATACGCTCATCTGAATCGCTTGCGTATGACATTCTTCAACTGAATGTGTTGCACAAAGGCTGCCCAATATTTCGTGTATCCTTTGTCTCTTCGACTCTCCCAGCAACACTGATGAGTTTTGGTTTTCATGGAAAATCCAAGAATGCTATTTTGAAAGTGTTGGAGTCAATCATCATCGTAAGCAACTCTTCCTGAGTCCAGAAATAATTGTTCATTGGTGCCACTTTATTAGGACGGATGATTTAGGACATTCATTTAGGCTTAAAAAATAAACTACAGATGCTTCACAGCGCATCCGCTCTATCTATTCTTTATGTAATTCACAAAATAGCTACAGAAGAAAATGTTGGTACCTCAGGTAGCGTAGATGGTCGTTGGCTTGCAATCAAATTGCTCAGCTCAGCGAACAAGCCAACGACAAAATAGCCACATTAGTAAAACAACTCTTTTGGCTAAGCCGGCGTAAACTTGGCTTCTTTTATCCGTTATTTCTTGTAGTGCGAAACCAATCAAGTTTACTGCCGTAAATCAGGGATTTACTTAAAGTTGAAATTCGAGTATTGTGTGTTTTGAGCGAATAAAGTTCTTCATTATCATCATCTTTATTGCCCTTTGCAGTTATCTAGGTTCTGATAATGAACTTTTAACTTAGAACAAAATTCGTATCGAAGGAGACTGTCCCACCCTTGCATTATTCAATCGAGCATAGGGGTCCTTTTTCCTTTCAGATTGTGGAAAATCTCTACGTAGGTTTTGGGGGTTTACGAAACTGAGTTCCTCGGAAAAACTCCCGAACTAGCCAGATGATGTTTCGGATCGATCAAGGAGTCATCGTTTCAAAGAGATTTACTGGATTCACTGGATTTATTGTTGGACAAGGTTTTACCTGACACAGAAGCCTCTTCAGATCAATGGGATAGGTTACCAAGTTGGCTGATTCTAAACAGACGGAGAACCAGTCATCCAGGTATCGTTCGATTGTAAGATCTGGTCATTGCTGAGTGTTAGTCAACGGTTCTTGTCGGTTAGTGTGGACCATTAACAGTTACAATGGATGGGTGAGGATAGTATTAGCCCCAATTTTTATCGGATCTTTGCTTTTCCGGTCTACAGCGCTTCGGCGGGAGTTTCGTGCACGGAGTTTGGTTTTCTGTCAACTAATAAGTGTCTGGAACCGACTACAATGTCACCAGTTCAGAAGGGCTTGGTAGACAATAGGTTAATTTCGCTTTAAACGTGTAACCTACCTACACTATTATCTGGATGTTCCTAGATACGGTTTCCAATAATATGGAAGGCATTTTGGTTATTTATCTCGATTGTACGCTGCCAGCTTGCCGGCTTCATCACCAAATCATGTTAAGCAAATAATTTTCTTTTCAGGAAACAACTAAACGAACAACAATGTTTTGGTGATCTCTTCTTCCGGTCAATACAGATCGGCGGATTACAAACCTAAAACCTAGCGATCCATACAAATGAAACAAGAATGAAGTGGAGTCTTTTGGAAAAAAATTAAACACTTTTGGGGTCACGATTAATAGGCCTGAGTGGCCTGCAGACTACCTTGGTGTATCATGGAAGACTCAACGTCTGAACGAGCGTCTTCTGAGTCTACACACTGGGGTTGCGTGCACGAATCTCAAATGTCTTATATTGATATTGAACACATCATGGTAGGTGGATATTCAGAAATCAATGTTAGAATTGATCACGTGACTTGTACCAGCCAAGTGGACGACCAACTTTTTGATAATAAACTCTCGCAATCCGGTTGTCAGATGAAATGGGTTTTGTTCCATCATTCTCCTATACAACTACCGTTTCGTTGGTCCCATCTGTTTTGTTATACAATATAACAGGCGAAGAAGCAGACTACCACAACTTGAATGCAGAACGACAGCTTATCAGTGAGCTCTGGAGTCACCAATCAAGTAGTTTTGAACCCCACTTTGAGTGGACAGGTCCGAAAGATTTCCAAAGACTATGATTCAGACACCAATTAGATAGTCTGCAGTAGATTGCCTCTGAAAAGAAAACTGATGAAGAGATATTTCATCAATCGATTTGGTTCTGTTAGTCGGTAACAGTCACATGTTTTGAGGTGAATGACCTTTTTCACAAAGCATGATAGCTAGTGATTAAAGCTTGAGTTTACAACAAATTTTTCCCAACCTGTCAGCAAGATGACGGACTCAATTTCGTTTATGTTTCAGTGGGACAAAGCTGTTGATGTTCGTATATTGTCCCGTCCGATGAGTTTCCGGAAAACTTTTAAATAAGCCATCAGTTACTCTTGACAGACATACGTCCAGGAAGTGGAAAGTCCTATCATTTTTCTCTTTAAATATATAAATCGGATGCCCGGGTGTGCCTTATGAGAATCTCTGGTAGCCCTGAGGATTTGTCTATGAGGACGAATAAATCGCCTGTGTATCACCAGACGGAGTGCATGTTTTCTAAACTTAAACAAAGCTGATGGTCTTCAAGGCGCCCTGTAAGAACAGAAGCGCGGAGTGAGTGAGTGAGGGGAGCCTATTGTGATACAAACAACTTGTTAGTACAGTCTTTTTTTGCAATGAAGTCGCACATAGCGATAGATTAGGTGAAGGTCTATATTGCTTTCCTGTAAGTAAACGCAAAAATAACTGATATATTCTGTGGGCGAGACATTGGTGAACATGGAAGATATGTCGAACAAGATCGTTTGCTTCTTGCGACATGTACTTCCTCGATCGCTACGCTCATCTCCAAAGTATGTTGGCAAATTCTACGACAAAGTGCTCAAGAATGTTCGTTGCAATTTTACTGGGGCATAATGTACAGACCTGGATCTAAGCGGACGATACTGTTTGTGGATTTTAAGCAGTTCACAGAGTCTCAGAGAAACCGGTTCTAGGGTTTTGATACCGTCATACATGGCCTGGGTAATGGTGCCGGCAAAATATTCAGTATCTTGTTATCGGTCTGACTAATTTTACATTTGTCGAGTTGGCTTTTCCGAAATGGTTTAGTCATTCAGAATTACGGATATGTCAGTACAGCCTTCGAGACACGGCTACGTAAAAAGTTTAAATAGAAACGGACCATGTAGAGGATTGTCACTGACGCGCAACTCTTCATACCCGTCGTTACTAACATCGACGATTTCGTACCTAACATTCTTAAATTTAGCAAGGTTTCCTTCGGATAACCTGACAGTCCTAAGAATGTGGCCTCTCACAGAGATAAGTAAGCCATTGGTCTCGTCGTTGTAGACAAACAAATTGTTCAAATGATGATTTAAGGTAATGTATGCTCATATTTTCATGTTTACCGGCTGTAAAACCAATGTAGAGTCGTGTGACCTATTCAGTCGTACTTCTCAAGCCACCATTGTATTTGTTCCTAGTTGTCTCGGGCCCGTAAATCCCACGTCTTGCTTTTATATAAAACGCATGGGTAGACTTAATAATGATTCAGAAATGTGGCAAACTACAATCCTGTTTGTACTTCCTATAGAAATTCTCCATGGAACTATTGCACTGAAAAAGTATGGTTATGGCTTTTTAGTATTTATTTACTGCCAAATTCAATTTGATTTGTTCAGCAGACTGATCGTAGGGGACATTTTTCCGACGATGTTTTTTAAAGGCGACTTAAGGTGACATAGTAATTGACTTCGGCCGCTTCTCATGCAAGACTTTGTGGCCTCTGGTTTAAGCTACCTGGCTGACGGAGCCAACTTTTATAAAAACTCCAGCAACTCCTGCAAAATGGAGAATGTGAGCGAATTCCTGCTAGAAAGGGCACGTCGGGCAAGTATATGTTTAAAACAATTCTACAGTTATCTAAACGTTACAACACCACAAACGGGGATTCAGCTGAGTCTGTTGTCGGAACCAAATTTGTGAGCAAACGAGAGTACCTGCAGGAATTTTGGTTATTTAGTCTGGCTTTGGTAGGTCAATAACAACTGGCTCGGTACAAAGAAGCAAATACTCGACTGGACCGATGTAACTGTGGAAAAAATCAATAGTTCTATTCGCAAGCACCTGGCTCGGGATGGATACCAAGTAGACTATTCAAAGGTACTTAGTCTGTTTTACAAAATGTGCAAACATTACCTGAATGGACACACCAAACAGCCAAGTTCATTGCAATCGGAAATTTGGAACCCGAGTCGTACAAGCAAATACGGCTTAGTCAATCACACTTATTGCCGTGGCCTTAGCAAGGAGGGAGGGAAAGTAAGATCCCTCCATTATTTGCTTCCAATTACTGGACAAGGATTCCACTTGGCTGCCCGTGTTGTGACCTTTCGTTTGCACTTTGCGGCGCCATTGTTTGCTAATGTTGTTTCTGTCGTGACGTCAGTCCAATCTTATTATGTTTTTTGCAACATACCAAGTGCCACCTAGCTTTCATAGCCGACTTAAAAATTTGTAAAATGGCTTTGAATACCTACTTACCTGATGTGATCTCTTTAGGAGTTCCTTCGCTTTCTTCGTTTTCTAGATGTTGACAAGTTGCCCAAACACCGATAAATATTTCATTCTCAATATGCTGCGTAAACGGCCTCCCAGTTTACATTCTAAATGTTTTACTCAACAAAAACTTGCGAAAACCACTTCTATCCCTCACTAGTTTCAGCTAGCATAAACTGACGTAAGTGAGTAAGTTGTTATAGGTCAGATTTAGTTACAGTACACAGCATGCTCAGTTCCGCTTGTTGGGAATAGTAATGTAGCCGACGATTGAATTCAAAATTCTTCGAAACAATGTTGTTCCGCCTTTTATTAAGCAATCATACTTACGGTCTCTTTTATTGTTCTATTAACAGAAACGTTTGATGGAACGATTTGGAGAAAATGCCATACCGTTTCGGTTTACCCTACCCCATGATATTCCTGCATCTATTACTATCCAGTCAGAACCTAGCTCTGTCCCAGTGGAACATCCTTGTGGAATTGAATACATGCTCCAGGTGAAGTTTGATAAGCCTTATCCTTATTTAGGTTTTAAGCAGATCGATTACATCGTTAAACCACACTATTCAGTTTGAACTTTATGCACGGGAGCCATTCGGACTTTATTAGGTCTTTCGCCTATGTTCTTCCCCTTGTGTCGGTACAACATGAAATAAAACATTCCTCATGAAAAGGAAATTTGGCGAGAGATATCCCATTTTGGATGCAACTTCAGCGGTGGTGAATCTTTTTTCACGCCAATTCTACGCTGGAAATAGCGGAACCTCACGACCGAATAGAAACACCTTCATATCCCAAAATAACTGCGTTGCATAATAATGTATCAACTGGTCAGCTGACACTCCAGAAAGATTATGCTATAAGCATCGCTGACAATCTATTCTGGTTTATCAGCTGACATTTCTGGTCCAGGCTGGCCTCTAATTAGGGACATCTCACAGACGCTATTCCGGCTGAAGTTACTGAAGCTGCTTACATAACACAATTTGATTTTGCACTTATTGAGATCCAAATAATTACTAGTATTTTCGTCAATAATTCCAAGCTAATTGACCTCATTTCCTGGTTTTTACTTGAGTTTCACTCTCTTGGACAACAGTACTCTTTTCAATGAGCTAAATGACAGGTACCACTTTACGCGAGTCAGCAGTCAGATGGAACATCTACAGCAAATGTTTCAGATTCGGCCGAACATTTCATCCCATTCAAAAATTCGTTGAGGGCGTTCGGATACAGAATCCAGTGGCACGCTTATTGGCCAAAATCAGCGCGATGCCGCCTTTAACCTAAGATATTTTCTTGAGGAGAGGTAAGATGTACGTAGTCGCCTCATATTGCTGGTGCTCGATATTTGCACAGCGGCCGCATAATTCCACCACGCTGACCAGATAATCTGTGTGGACAAAACTAGTTTGGAGCTATTTGCTGACAGTACTTACACCGACAAACTGAGTAATGTACAACGTGAAGTTTGTCCACAGTAACGTTGGAGAACAATAATGTGACGCTGAAGGAGCACGGATCGGTTGAGAACATAAGCGCGCAACATCGAAGTGAAAAGTCGTCAAGTGACGACTGCAATGTGACAATGGTAAAAATGGTAACTGGTGTATAGCAGTGCCCCTGGGTGACCTTAGGTTGCTGAACTTTAAGTCAAAGCTCCAAAAGGGTAATAACGGGGAATCACCGAGTCATTCTGTTTAGGTGACGTAGTGGCGGATCACTCGCTTGCACGGAACTAAGCGACCGCAACGACAAAATGGGGAGAACGTGTAGAGGGAGGTGAATGTATTAACTACGAATCACAAAAATACTGAGTTACGGCACAAGTATCAGAGCATGTTTTGTTCCAAAACAATACCCCCCTCGTCATCTCTGTTTTTCGTCGTCATCAATCCCATAGAAGAGCCACCCATGAAACAAAGTAATCAGCTTCGTTCAAACCGAATGTTACGGGTTTAAAATGTCACCCTAATGTCGAAGTTCTGACTACTTCCTGACCACCATCTTGAGTCATCACAGGAAATGTAAAGAGAACAGGTTGTTCTTCATGGAAACTAATAAAAAGGTTGCTGAAAAGTCTTCAGCAGCCTACGACCAGTTCCCTGTTTCTAAGGCTCATCAGGTAGACGCATTTCCCACAATATTATGTTCTACTTGAACCAAAATAACACGAAACTCATCAACGACATTCATCTGGACACCACTTTAGCTTTAACGATCATCCCAGCTGAATCCCTCGTCTATGCTATTCTTCAAATGAAACATGCTGAAACAGAGTTTTCCTTCAAGAGATTCTCTCAATAAACCCAAGTTCCAATATTGATGGGACATACTTTAGGTAATTCGGGAATCTCATGTGAACCTAGGCCTCAAAAGGCTAGGATTATTCACGCAGAATTAGGAGATAACGTGTTCACTGCATTTACTTGATTGCAACAGCTGAATTTTTTTAACAGTGAAACCAATCAAAAAGGCCGTATGGATCTACTGACCTCATTACCTTCAGCATATTCATGAAGACGGTGACAATCACATTATCGTTGTCCCAAATGATGCATATTTCCCTGGAGCACGAACTTTCTGTTCCTAACCCTGTTTCTTCATCACACTCAGGTTTTCATTGGAAGATCCGCCACGGGCAATGTAAGCAAGAAGAATTCCATATCGATGGCCATTCGGCGTTTAACTCTGGCAATTCCAGATCCAAACTCGTCTCCATACACAAAAGAAATCGTCAAAAACTTTCACTTCCACTCAGGCATGCTCAAAGCCACTGTGACACTAACAAAAGAAGTTTTCTATCACGGAGAGCCGATTCAGATCATCCTAAACATTGACAATCTGTCGAGCAATTCTGTGAGGCGGGTCAAGTTTCAGGTGAGCTGACATATAGTGCGAAGAATGGGGCGGTGGTCCCAAGTGGAATACAGCTGTATCATAGCTTTTCACCTGAAACGATAGATTGGCGTTGTCAAATGGCTGAAGAGAAAAAGTCCGTAGCATATCGGAGGCGATTATTGGACGGCCTTTGGAAGGAAAGGCAGATATTGGATGTTGACGTTCGTCAGTCTGGTGTCTCTACTACCTCTGTTTAGCTGGCTGCATTTATGATGTGAAAATATTGACCTGAAATTCGTTCAATAGATTTGCATTTGGTCAATGAGGACACCGCAAAACGGAACCACTGCACCTCAGTGAATGGACATGACTGAACTGCTACAACTTACTGACCGTCTGACACCCAATGCGCTTAGATGTATTCCCTGAATCAACACTACCGGTCTCCCGGTAGTATCTGGGAGAATTTAGTGCAAATAGGTAGGACCTATCGTTGGTTCCATCAAACTAGATCCAACAAGTTCTTTCCATCATGTAAAAGAAGTTTGGAACGGATATTTCCGGCCACATGAATAGATTCAAGTCTCGTGATGTTTTGAAACTACACACAAATTACATGCAAACTGAACTGTTTTCGGAAACGTTCCTTTTTTCAGTTTCTTCAGTGTACGGAACTAACAATGTTCAAACAACGGACAGATAGATTTGTTGTCCTTGAAATGGAAAGCGACGAAGGATTTCCAGTTCCACCGCAGTCCAAAGAATGGCAACACAAATATTCCATCCGTCCATCAATTCAGGATGCTCGAGTGAAGGCTGGGCTTGCACTCGACGGAAAGTTAAAACACGAAGATACCACCTTGGCATCTTCAACACTGATCAAGGACTTCCGCAAAAAGGAGGCCATGGCTATGGTTGTGCAGTATGCAGTAAGCAGTGGTGATGTTGTTTTCCCTTTTCACAGCACTTCAGTCGGATAGACGTTTATTTTACTCAAGACACTCGGGATAAGTGAGAAAAGGTTGTTATGGGTAGTGTTGTTGTTGTTTAGATTCCTGGTAGGTTCATTTACTTTGGGGGCGATTTACCATGCAAACACTACGTGGATGGTTCATCTATTATGCACAGCACTCTCGAGGTGATGAGCAAATAATGACTGAGAATGCCACCGTACATCAAACCGAACCATCAGTGACACTAAAGACTGAATTCCTAATGACAATCACCTATTGGACTGAATGCTATTCGATTAGAAACCGTAGGAGGATAAGCGCCCTAAATGCAAGAAGTTTAGTATAACTGTGAAAAGGACAGGAAACTGAGTGTGACAGAAATTTCGACTCGAACGAAGAGTACAAGACACTTATGCACAGATGAGCAATCGTAAGTGAACAAGTGGTGTCTCAAAACGCCCCGTATGCCGCGGCAGTCCCACGTACAGTCATGCATGAAATGTCACGTTAACAAAGGGCAGCATGTGGAGGTTCGTGACATGCACCCGTTGATGTCCAAGGAAGTCGGGATATTTACGAAGGATGTCAACGCTTGAGCAGAGGCCGACAGAAGTAAACTAAGACAGACTTGAAATCGCTTTCATCTACATTATAACTAATCATCAGTAGTCTCGACTGTTGGTCACAAGGACAAATTAAGCATAGTTGCATAATGAATAGCTCTGAGAATAAACACCTAACGTCGCAAGCAGCTAGTAGCCAAAAAGCAAACTGACAGCATTAACCTGCGCTGAACTGTCATAGAGCAAGGGGGCCTGCAAGTGGGCACCTGCTTTCCGTAAGCCGTTGGAAGTGAACCTGACTTAAAATTGACTTTCGCTATGTCGACATCTTTCATGATTTTGCATTGTTTGCTTATTCATCTGACACGAGAACGTATTCAAATATGATATAGACGCAGTAGACTAACGTTAAAGCCGAGAACTTCCAAACTACAGTGAGGGTTTTAATGGACAACCTGCTGTGTAATTTGCACAGCTTTCCGCAAAAATCAGAGTAAATTACCTACCATTTCAGCCGTACGTTGTACCTGAGGATAACATGAGGCTTTTTTCGTAAACACGTTTTTCTTATCTCCCTGTCCAGATACGCGTCAAACTCTGCACAGGCTTCGGGGGTCGAGACGTGGAGGCAGATATACCGGTAATCCTCACACACAAGCGATCCACTCCGGAACTAGTGAAGGCGGAAGCGATCACAGATCTGATTATCAGCCGATTCAAGCGTAACAAAGCCAGAAACAGGCGAGAATCGGACGATGTGTGAATGCGGGAACTGAACGTTAGACATGGATTTGGTTGTGAGAGTCCGTTATCCTGTCTTCTGGCTGCACCACATTGATTTCTTAGAGCACAATGTCTAGAAATACGAACTATCGCTAGTTTGTGCTTTTGTTTTCAAGCAAAACATTGTAACATATTACTCACCTGCGCAGTGTATGACGACATCTACGCAAAGGAAACAGGCAATCAAACATGTATCCCTCGACTTAAGCGAGGCTAACCCAAGTGGTCAGGTTCGTGCACGAATTTTGTGCGATTGAACCCATGTTAGTTGGCCGAAGAATACAACTGTCTCACGGCATTTTTCTCCTGGTAAAGAGTATCCCAAATATTTGCTACCTGTGAAGGCCGACAAGCAGCATAGCGACCTAATCATGGAATCAAACGGGAAATAGGCGCGCAGTTGAGTGGTCATGCCGAAATGTTCATCACCCCCGTAAGAAATCCGATAGCCGCCGAACTTGGAGATGCTACTGAACAGACAAAAGCTGAAGCGAATAACGACTAAAATCCACATTACCATGCACAAAAGCGTGGTAAACGGGTGGGGCTATCGGTTCTGTCACATACACCTGATGATCCGCGGTCCGGGTGAAACATTTGGTGGAGTGCGGTCGGCAGGCTTGACTACACCAGAACATTCAACAAACAAATTGGAGGAATTGAGTTTGGTGACATGCTCATGAGTGCTGATGCTTGAGGCGCATCTCAAGTGCGGCAGGACTGTTCAATAATGAACACATTGAATCGGGCTGACCAGCAGGTCACCATCAATAGCCTCAATCTAGGTCATTCGTCAGAACCCATTCTGACGATTGCTCGCTTAGGGAGTTTCGGGAGGAGGCCGCATAAACAGTCTATACTTCTGATATTCACGTCACGAGAAGCTCCCGAGCATGTTCAAAATGAAAGCAAAGTGACTGGTTCTTTCGCCATGCTTCTGATCAGCTACAACACATTTGTAGGACGATCGCACCCGCCCAAGAACGGAACTTAAATCATACCTAGTAACAAAGTTTTGTCCATCTTAATCATACTTAATTGATCAGACTAGTTCAAACAAACCTTGAATCAAACCTCTATGACAGTGAAATAATTTATCTGCAATGCCAACCACAGGACCGCTGGTTCCTCGAAATTAGTTGTTTGCCAGAGAAAAATGAACTGGTTTCAAATATGGTCAGCTGGTGGTTAGGATATCTCAACTCTAGTTAGATTGATCCAGGGGCTGAGGTGGTTCAGTGGTTAGAGCGCGAATTTACCGACCTCTGTCTCTCGACTTCCCCTGTCTAGGCTTGGGCAACCTGGCGGTTTCCCAATGCGCTTGTTTCTTTCTCGTGATATGGCAGTTAAGCACCGAAAGGTTGCTACAGCTGAACGATGGACTGGTCCAGCAACCTTAATTAAACTGAATTTGAAAACTGCTGAGAAAATATAATAAGAAAAACGTCTTGGTTGACAAGGCTTTGAATCACAGTCACTGATCAGGAAGTGGGAAAGAGGGGTACGGTGTCAGAAAGTCAGTGAAGTCAAGCGACGTTGAAAAACGGTACAGAGACACAAGAACAAAGTCCAATGATCAATACATAATCACGATAAGATTAAGAATCCGTTTCAGAGGGTTCCAGAGGATTTTTGGAATCCTCCTCCAACAACTGCTCCATCGGACGTTTGTCTTTTGTCAATCCAGGAACCGCAAGTGACACTTCTTTGGAGCGATCGGAAAAAAAGAACACATTGTCGGTTATGACGGAATTCAGTGGAGTTTTTGGGGACACGTTCAAATAGGCCGTCAATTCACAGGTGTCGGGCCGTTCGAAGCGCGCTGCATTCAACGTAGGCTCTGAGGAGCAACGTTGAAGTTTGGGTAGGGATCGATATAAGCTGTCCAGGCGTTGATAGATCTAAGAAGGGAACATCATCATCATCATCGACAGCATGACATCAGCGTTCAAAACCGATGCTTCACTGCCATACTAAGAAGGGAACGCGAATATTCAAACGTCCAAGTTGTTCAGAAAAGACAAAACCGATCTTCACTGCCATACTAAGAAGGGAACGCGAATATTCAAACGTCCAAGTTGTTCAGAAAAGACAAAAAACTAATGATAGCGACCCCGGTTTCCCAATTGTGCGACTTCACGAGTACTTGCTGAACAAATCTGTGCGACTAAAATAAACATGTAGTCGACAGATGCTGTCATCTTCACATGAATTTGGTTTCGAAAAGAGACCCAACTAAATCCAACTGAATCATTTGTTTATGATGGTCCACTTTGACTGAAGAGTTTTCATTAGCCTTATGAGTAGTGCGTTACACCTGTACAAAAATGTAGTCGATTCCGTGTGGGATGAAAAATCGACTTCACATTACATGTGGTTAATGCGAATTTAGGAAGACAGAAACGTCTCAAATACCACACCATCACTGAATACAAGCATGCAAGTCTGCGCCATAAAACCATCGCTTTTTCGCTGAAAAGGATGGCGAGGGAATAGAGTTCTGACAGTATTTTTATAACAGACTGATAAATAGTTGCCACCAAGAGAAGGAATACATTCTGCCAGAACAATCAACGAAGTCGTGCATCTTAAATACATAGCGATTATTTTATAGGCAGTCACGTGGAAGAGGTGCTTTCCTTTCCACTTCACTGTCGCTCGCGTAGCAGTGAGTGTAGCGAGCAAGCGGCATTTTCCAGTGCTTGTGTAGGGGAACCACGCTCAGAAGATGTGAAACTATGATACTTCGCGACGAAGTGTACTTACTGTTTTTGGATGAGGAAAAATAAGAATGACTCGGGAGAAACCCTTCTGTGGGTGATGTTTTGCCGAGAGAGGGTAGGGTTTAAACCTCAATACAAATTGCATTTTATCTGCTCTAAAAATGTTAACTCGCATACGCATTAGTCGGAGTTATGTGAACTAGTCAGTAGTCTAAAGCACCAACATCGACAGGAATTTGCAAACGCAACAGTTATTGAAACAAAAAACATTTCGGCTACCTGGATCGATCATTGGTGCTCAAAACAACCACTTTTGTTCATTAAGAGAGGACCCTAAAATTGAAGGACCCCAATTCATTGCGAAATAGAAGGCCAAAGAGCATTTTAACCGCAGAACCACAGACTGGTGGCAGCTGATCCTGAGCTACCTTAAAACACATTCAGAGTATACACACAGTTCCCCAAAGTTAGATGGTGAATAAATAAGTTGCAAAGATGGGGTCATGTGTAGGATGACACGGAATAAAAACGAACATAAATATGCCTCACCTGTGAGAATGCAGGTCTGTCATATCGTTCGAAACTGCAACACTCAACAGTTAGTTGAGTTAGGTCGATCGGAATATCCGACCTCACCTCGCTCATATCTGGCTTCAGAAGACCACGACCAACCAGGAACAAAATCTGGTCACGGTTGTTGAATCGACTGTAAGGTAGCTGGCCGGTGATTAGCTCGTACAGGACGATACCAAATGCATAAACATCGGACAAATTGGTGTATGGTGTATCGCCCTGCATTCGAATGACCTCAGGTGCCTGTAGGAAAAGGTAAGGGGGAAGGCGAAAAACGAGTGTCGTACGTGAATGGCGAACACAATGACACAGACTGTTTCTGATAAAACGATCCTTTTCATAAGAAAGCCACTTAAAGGAACCAGCTAAGAGCGGNGAGCGGGTTTCAGGATGAAAAAAACAACCATAGCTGGAATGCGAATGTATGATAGCGTCAAATCCATCATTTCTAAACTACTCAGTTAAAAAAAGTCTGTGTATAATTAATAAGAAAACAAACACAGCCAACGAATATCAAGTTGTAAATGATCAATAAGGACTGTCAGACGAGAAGGGGGTCGGGACCTGTCTGGCGACTTGCACTAATTTATTCTACAACAGAATTCTAAATCAGAATTGATTGGAAAAAGCTATTTACAAAGAGTTCGTACATAGTCCTGCAGTAGTTCACAGACAAAGGGACATCATTCTCAAGAAGGACAACAGAGCTGGCACCGGTCCCCACTGAGATAAACAGGCAAGACGAATTCTGTCAGAAAAGCTAAAATTGACTGCTTGTGAGATTCTATCTGCGAAGAGCACGAATGGTTGATAGAGACATTCACAGCTCGGCCTTGGACAGGAGAGATAACGTATTAGTGACACCGTCTCCAAGGGTGAGTTGATCACACTGCTGGTCAGCCACTCGCAACTGAACGTAGTAACTTTGAAATTCTACCTAGGAGGTCGTGCGCTTAAACCGCCCCTGAGATTCGAGATGTGGAGTGCTGATGATACTCAACAACGAAGAGATAGCTATACAGTGCTTCCCAGCCTTCCGGCGTTGACTGACTTCACTTATAGGACGAAAACTCGATTGGCGTTGGTAATGGTTAAGGTGATCAAGGAATTAAAATGTCACAGGATGCGACAACTTACCATCCAGAATATGGAACCCGTTGGTTGTTGAAATCCACTATTCCACCAGCCGCTTTTAACAGTGGCCAGTCCGAAATCCCCAATCTTCACAGTTCGGTCATGCAAAAAGATGTTGCTCGACTTTAAGTCTCGATGAATGATGTGTTTCGCATGTAAATAACTACCTCACGAGAAGGTAAAGAGGATGAAAGAACGGGTGAGATGACGGTACAAATATTCGGAGTACATGAATGCGATTAAGTTGAAGCCTGTGGGTGAAGGTTAGCTGTTTCATTAGACTCTTTAGTAAATCATAAAATAAAGATGCGAATAGGGAGTGTGACTAGTTGCTTGTTATAAAGCAGACAGCACACGGGAATGACTTACTCCATTCCTTGTGAAGTTTGTCGAGCAATATCAACCAATTCGGGAATGTCAAAGCGACCTTCGAGCACGTGCAGATGCTTGTAAAGACTGGAACCCTCACACCACTGTGTAACGATTGCAAGGCAGGGCTTGGAGACACAACCCATGAAAAGGAGAATGTTCGTGTGACGCGTTTTTCTGTTCGAAAGGCGAGTAAATAAAGGAATGACAACTATGAAAAGCCTGGGAACGTTCAAAGCATGCTGACCAGATAAATTGGTTCAGTGAAAGAGTTTATCGCACAACAGATGAATAAGAGTTAATCGCCGTAACGAATTGCATAATTTGGATCCGAATAGCGTGAGAGATTTCTCTAAAAGCCTCTCCACAGTGAAACTGGGCTCCGTGGGATTAGAGTTGTTGCAATTTTTAACAATATGGTCATCGCTGGTCGCGATTTTTGGAAAGAATTTTCAAAACGGTTGCATGCTTCCACAGGATATTTTATGAAAACTATCACCAATGGAATATCATAGGCATAGTCGCTCCCGTTTTGCCTTGCTATTGGTTGGGAAGAATAAACTCTAACAGCCGTGGTCAAATTTAACCTCAGATTTTATCAGCTGACTTAGGACAAATTAATGTATCCACGAGAAATTCCCTGAGCAGTTAACGGTGCAAGTTGATGATGCTAGGAATGTTCCTAAGTTGTGGGGCTACCTTTGGGAGTGTGATGCCTTGCGGTCTCACAGCACAATACAAACCAGACACAAGATTTTTTTAAAACGAAACGAGAGATGAAGGAAATTCACAGTGTATCCCCGTCGGAACAATGATTGTTCGGATCCCACCCAAGGCAGGAAGGGCAACTGACCTGAGCACATTGACTTCGTTTTTAAACGCCTCCAGTTGTTGTGGGTTGGGATTGGTGACATTCAGTTCTTTAATTGCCACATTTCCATGCCAGTAGCCCTTGAACACCGTTCCAAACGATCCAGACCCAATGCGTGGGCCCTTGGTGATTTCTGCTGTAGGTATTTCCCATTCCTCATTGGAGTCGCGGCGCTAAGCGAAGGTGAGACCGGACAGTGAAAGAAAAAAGTGCTTTAGTTGGAGCAGGGATTCCATGAGAAAACTAGAGCATTCGCAGAAAAATTCGTATAGAATAGTTAACTCTAGTAGGCACATATAAGCCGGTGGAACATTCATACGGTGACGAGAAATGATACCTGATCATATACTTTGAACGATCGCTTCAATGAAGGGATGCTATAGTTAGAGCCATACATTCAAATAATGATCCTGTCTGGGTTAATTTGGGTTACTTTTTATCGTGCCACTTAGCTACACTTTCTAGCAGCGCGTAATTGTAACCGGTTAAGCAGTAGGACAGAATAGGATAACGGGATCTGGCAGACACGCGCCAACAAAGTGCCATGTCACACGGGCCCTGGGACGTAAAACTTTATATGGCCTAGTACTGTCACGGTACATATGACCTTGAAATGCGGTCAAACGTAACTTGATAGATGGTCTATCAGCCCAATCTCCCCACATGAACGTCCAGATGACACGATGATACGGCACCGACAGATTGTACTTGCAGTTTTAGCGAATGGTATACAGTAACCCGAACGAAGTGATCCATTGGAACACGTAACGGACTCCACTTGGATGCACGCTGAGTGATATGAGAGGGCTGAAGCAGGCATCAAATTTCATTGGAGTACTCGATCCATATTCACGTGCCTGCCAGTGGTTGAACACTCCATGTGCACGGTTCAGCTAGCTTTTATCTCATCATTGATGACAGCCTGATGGTCAACCACCATACAGCTATGTAAATTTATTTGAACAAAGTTCTATAGTGAACGGGAGAACAAAAAAGGAAGAAGCCTAGTGCTAGCCTGCGACAAGCACTCCAAAGTGCCTACATGTACAACTTGATCAGATAAGGAATTGACGGCACTAACGTGACACCGGTTGGCGACCATACCTTGCAGCGTCTTTAGCCAAACACAGAGAATGTCATGTGAATATCATCTGGGGCAGTCGACAGCGCCGAAAATAGCCGAATTTGTCGCAATTTCTCACATTCTCCTCAGCCACGCCTTATTCGACTAATAGTGTGGTCATATAAGATAGTCGAAAGGGTGTAAAAAGAGGAATACGCTTCCCTGCGAAGTCGTTTATTAGCAAACAGCAACTAAGCAGCTACAAGTAATTGGACAGGAAAGTGAACGTCTCCTATAGAGGAGAATGTCGGTAGCTCAGGTAGCGTAGATGGTCGCTGGCTTGTTCGCTGAGCTGGGCAATTTGGTTGCAAACGTTTCATCACCAATCGAGGTGATATCATCAGTGCGTAGTTGTGCATAGCGGTGGGTTAGTGGTTGTGCGTGAACGTCTCTCATATTAAAAAAAACTGAACATTCTCACGCATTTTCTTGAACTCTCATTGATATTCACTGACTAGTACACAGTCGTAAACGAACACTGCAAAGCAGTTCCACAAGTTTCATAATAAACTTCACCTTCCATTCACCTTCCTTCGACACGACCAAAGACTACTCGATTGCCTCATCAGTAGTACGTACAGTAGTGCACAGGTAGTTAATAAATCGCGAGTCATCTGTGTGCTGCTAAGTCTTCCCACAATAATTCGAGTTCCCGCGTATTTCCATATAAAGGAACACAAACCTAACACAAATCTTGAGACATTTTTTTACTTACGGCCCGAGATTTCGAGGATTGCTGTTTAACGTCAGATACGCTTCCGTCAAACGCGGTTCCTGCCTCGTTGCCGCCAACGTGAACATGACCACAGGACTGACACACTCCTCCGTTGGTCACTACTGCACAAGCGGATGAGGCATCGCCAGAGGCCATGTATGGGTGTCCTAGAAAACGCGGGTGAAAAGGAGTTAAACAAGTAATAATCCGGAAACCGGATAGATAACATTAGACGCATTAGGCCCACTCTAAAAGACCGCTAGAAAAGCAGAAAAGTGGACGCAATCCAGCTGCATTATGTGGACTCGCTTCATAATTTGTGAACAGCAGACGGACACAAGAATTAACCACAATGCCCCAAAATATCTCAAGTCTCACACCCTTTAGAATTTTAAAAGCACAATTTATTCCTCTACGAAAAAGACCTTACAGATACCGAAACATCCCCTCGATGAAAATCTTGAGGGTAAAGATGATTAAGGGGAGTCGTGTCTCATGAGTCCTGTACCTGGTTAAGACAAATTAAGTGACCTGCAGATGTACCACCAACGAACTAGGTGTCGCAAAACCTTGCATACTTGAAGCTGTGACACTCTAGTGCGTCCACAGGGTGAACGTTCACAGTGCTGGTCAGCTCATGCCATCTAGGTCACAAAGGATCATGTAAGAAACTCTCTACCATACCCACATTATGCGAGATGACCCAAGTGGTTACAGCGCGAATTTACTGACCAGAAGGTTCTTGGTTCGAGACCGACCTCTCGACTTCCCCTGTCTAGGCTTGGGCAACCTGGCAGTATCCCAGCCCTCGTGCAACCTTCGGGTGGCATGGTAGTTAGGCACCGAAAAGGTGCCAAAGCCGAACGACCTACATTATGCGCAGAAAAAACGCATGCAGAGTATTTATCATCGGTAGGCGCAAATTTCTACGTCGCTTACCTCATTTGACAATTAAATTGGGGACCATCACTGACTTAGTCAAGCCGGGAAATCTGTACTGGAAATGAAAGCATACTAAAGCATGTCCACCACATGCTCCAGTCAATTGTCTCAATCTGGGTTGTTTATGTCATCATTCCGCTTGGTTGCCGTCTGCCTTTCTGGGTCATATCAAAGCTAGACACCAACCAGATAGGGTATGAATCAGAGCTTATCCGTCAAATTGAATCAGCGCGAAAGCCTGATTACCAGATCCTTCAGGCCCGTTGCAAGTAGCGTTGAGATGAAATGACTGAGTGCACTAATTCCATATTCGTCACACAAGATAACTCGATGGCTAGGCAAATTTCGACGAACGAGGGTGGGAACTCTAGTCTTTGAAAACCAACTTTCGAGATGCTACACATTTACTCGGTCATTTACTAACTTATCCATTTAACCACTTAAGTTTACAACACAGTATTCATCATAGGGTCCATGCTCGGCGAAGTGAACCGACACAGTTGTTTTAAAGTGTCTCTTGTTGACTTGCCATATGGAAGGTTTCAGTTCGGTAGAATGAAACTGAAATGTACGACGGACGTGTTTTAAGACTCGTAATTCGGAGGGAGAGGTTATCTAGCGTGACAAGAAAGCTGCATGTCTAAAATGAGCTGGTAAGAAAGTACGCGAGCGATTATCTATACATTCAACTCCAAGTGGGAACGTGCAACTCATTTTCGTACGTACACCAAAGATGAACGGTTTACTTAACAGTGTATCTAATTCAAAGCAAACTAACATATACCCGTCGATGTTGCGGGACGGTACAGCAGCAACCTGGATCGATTCCGATGAGATGTTTCACGGTCTAGTGGACTGTATCTCGTGGATGAGAAGAGAATAGCTTCAGGAATATCAGGGTATATGGTTTTGCATCCTGAACACAGGCGACAGAATCACCACCAAAAGTGACCAATGTGTTAAAATCAGATTAGTTTCGAATCGGTCGAGCAGTTCGGGCACGTCCACGCCTAGAAAGCGATGTGGCACACCAGCCAAATTAAGCAATTTATGAAAAAATCATGACATCTGTTAAGACGTGTTTGAGAGTGAGAGGTTAGTCAAACCAGCCAAATAAGTAACCTTCGACGTCACAAAGTTCAACCTAGGCAATGCACACCATAGACGAAACTTTTACTCTCAGATAAGAAGGCATCAGTTAACTGTAGTGCCATGGATTTACTCGTGTAGAGTCGGGCGTTTGAGAGAATTTAGGTCATATCACATCTTTCACAATCTTCAAGCGCTGAGGCGCTTATCCATGGAGAGTACACCCAGTAGGATGTGTTAGGTCACTATTAGTGTGGACCAGACAACGCGTACCGCTGGCAAGCCCACTGAATTCGTGTGGGCTAACTGTTCCCAGCTCGTAGCAGCCAACGGGTTAGAAAGTGGACGTCACTGTTATAAGAAATAAGGTCATTCGTCGACCTGATAGGTAGGTAGCTCAAAACAGTGATATTGTGAGGATGAGAGACATCTTTGGGAATAAGCAAAGGCTCCGCAAGTGAAATACTTGAAAATAATTATTCGGATGAGAGTCGCGGGTCGAATGCCACATCTATGAATCTTCTCAAGATCCCGCAAAACGACACAATGAAGTTCTAAAATGGTGTAGATTAACTGATGAAGTATTAACCTCAGAAATCTGATGAAGTTGGAAAGCGGTTGGAAGTTGTAAAACCGCGAACGGTAACAATAAAAGTCGCTAGGCGTGTGAACCGTCACAAGTTGCTGGTAGGATAGTTCTATTTTCAAAGAACTTTCACGAGTTATCGGGCCCAAAAGAAATTTCATTTACATCGAGCTACAGGTGACATTAGTCATAAAAGTACGAGCACAGTGTAGGTACTCGGTGTAGTTCCTCTCTGGAGTCATCCACCAAGTGAATTCTACGGGTCGGTCATAAAAATAACCGTAAGCTTATAAAAAGGGGATAACTTGGCTTTGTCTCAGACTGGCATCAGCCCGTATGTATACACCCGGGTAAGCTCGTTTTTCATAGGGGAGGGGATAGGGAAATGGCATTTGGGAAATAGGGAAATGGTATTCGAAAAAGGGACAAGTATGCTAGTCATAACCCTAAAATTCTGCTTCCGCACATAACAGAAACTCCGCAGTATAGACATGGACGGCGCGACAGCTGCCTTAAGGGGGAGACGATTGTGTTTGCTAGGAAAAGTGACCATACGTTTGTAAACGACGTCGCTGAGGCGCGTACCGGACTGGATTATTGGAAAGTGGACCATTTTTAAGCATGAGGAGACCATATCGGAAGCTTATGACATAAACAACTTCAGGCAGTGCTTCCTAAAGCCCTTTTTAGAACGTTAGTAAAAAATATTCTTCACTCATCGGGCTGGGAAAAAAACCTGGAAAGTTTACCGAGAAAATTTATGCCCGATGGATCATGACCAAGGAGTAGGGTTGCCGCCATCAGTACCGCAAACAGATAAAAGTAGCCGAAAGGACGTATGGGAAAATAAAACCAACCGAAATCCCCAGAAGCTCAAATAGCTCCACAGGAGGTGCATACTAGACACACGGTTGTTCAGTTCAAACGATGTAGATAACCTTATTGCCGATGAGATGGATGAAGAAAGACAAACGCACTCCCTACTTTGTTGTCTTCGTAACACAAATCGGTGGCTTGAGCATTGTTTTGATTTGTTATTCAACTCTGAGAAATCTACGTCAAGATCAGATATCGTTCAAAGAGTTTCGTGCCACCAACGGAAACCGAGAAGATAAAGCTTTCGTGGTCTTTAATAGGAAGTATACTTTTTTGGATAGAGAAGGGGGTACGAGAGCAATAAAGTAAAAATACGACTGACGTAATACTCGTAGTCAACTTTCGAACCGCGGCCGCAGCGGTTAATAAAGCCAATGATGGAGCTTAAAATAGTGCCCAGAGTGAGTCGCGAGCTTGGAACCCAAACGTTCCTGACTAGAATCCACTGATTGTTCTCACATTACCGGGTCTACAAGATGGCAGTACCTCAACTCACGTCAATCCTACGGGTTATATGTTAGCTCCTTTTTATTGCTCACATGAGATCCATAGTTAGATGAGAACCTAATGGCCCGGAAGTGAGCCAGAGATGGATGCAGACGTAACTTACCTATTGCACTGCATTCAATCTGTTGCTGCGATCGTTGTGCGTCACGCTGAAAATATGAACAAAATGGGAGATAGTGAGTAAATGAAACGGCGAATCATGATCCAGAACCGACATGCAACTTCCCTTCACCAAAAAGTGAGTGAAACGGAAAGCACACGATGAAAATGAACTGAAACTGTAGCGGGGATACCGCTTCGCATACACGCCCACCGCGTTAGTTGTTGAAAGCTATTAGTAGCTCATTATGTGTGCATTTACATGCACCATACTAATGCTTAGCTACCCTCAACTCAGACGTTGGAAATCCAATGCAAGACGGGTTTACTGTTACCAACAAGAACAGAACAGTTTGCCGGCCCTTCTTGGTTTGGCAGTGTCGGCCGACCCAGTCATACAGCAAACAATGACTGAAGAGATGAAACGACTTTATGGAATTGGGTTGAGATGCAGTAAGTTCTGAACGGAATGCAGGCGGAGCGAATATGATAATGGTCAGTCACCGAGTGCTCAAAACTCGATTTGGAGGCCCGATTATGTCAAACGCGGACAGGCTTCCTATTACTGAGCTATTATTTTGAGTAACAATAACAATAATTGTATATTATTATTAATGGCGGCCAGGCCCAAACGTTGAGTGTGTGATTTATCTCCCAACCCGTCTTTCTTCTTCGGGAGAAGATGGCATTTCCACTTTCATCAATAAATGTTGGTCATTTGCGGGGTGCATTTTACTGTTCTCACATTCGGCTTAAATGTGATACTATTTAGGTATCCGGCTGTTCAGTAGAATCAAGAAGACTCACTACGTCACAAATCCAAGTTATTTATAGTTACGACTTTACCTCAGTGAATTCGACCAGTAAGGATATCCGCATGTCATCCGTGGGGCTGAAGACTAGTTCCAGTTAGTTAGGTGTAAAAAATTAGCTCATTTACGGCCAATCGTGTCGGCGAGAATGCGCCATATTGTTACTTCATACTGACTGATTAAGATCAGAGTGGATGAGCCAACTACAGTGCATAGAATGAATCCAAAAGCATCACCCTGCCACCAGCCCACCACCATAGGAACACAGTCTGGTGCCTTCGAATGGTCCATTCCCAACACCCAACAGCTCACCGGAAAACAGCAAGAATGAACTCGGCGCACGACTGGTGCAGTAAGGGAGGTGCAACAAGTTACCACTGTTGTTAAAAGAGGCGGTAGCTGAGGAAATGTGGGTTTGATCATCGTGGTCGGCACGTGCAAAGAACACGAGTCTGTGGAGGTGCTTGAAATACGTCGTTTAGGACTGGTGGTATTAGACGACAGACAGAAGTGAGGTCGCTCAGTACACGTCGATTGTGACCAACAACCTGTCACTGGGTGCGTACTAGCCATCGTACGGAAGTAAGATGGCGATGGTACGGTTGACCAGTTTATGGATTCCTTTGGCTCGTGGAGAATAAGTTTTAAGGGTCTTCTGACAGTTTTGGGATTTCTTGAAGAGGTTTTTGAAAACAACTCGCGTGTATGGGGCACAAACTCCCTGCTTGGTACTGTTAACGTATGAGGACCGTAATTTTCAGCCATGCTTGTTGTGGGTTTTGCCGGCAAACATAGCTGAGTGAACAATTCCGAATCCATGGGGATTTCTTTAGCACTCTGACAACGCCGGCAACACAGCGGTACGTGATGTTCCGTTGATGGTGGCAACAAACGTTGTGTTGGGTCAGAAGAGCCGGAAGCTGAAGAGCTACGGTGAACTGGGGATCCAACAGCAAGGTCATCTGGAGTCGTGTCAGTTTTTCGATGTTGATGCGTCATAAACAGATGCATGGTCACGCTCCCCGTACACTTCCCAATAGGTTTGGAAAACTTCTTTTGAGTGTACCAGGTCAAATTTTCGGATCCAGCATTATAACACGTTGTACGACGATCAGGAGTTAACGGATGGACATGTGACTGATTACTATTAGTTGATGGACAGGTCCAAGGTGTTAGCTCAGGCATACTCCAATACACGCTGCAGAAGTTTAGTGGATCAGTGCCAGTTGCGAAATCCAGAGGACCACCAACTAAGCGGTCCAGCTTGGGAAACGAGAGGTGTGATATGCGAAAGCCACAGGAATTACTCTTCCGAATCCAGTGTGATGTCAACCGCTCGTAGCTGTTCTTTCTAGCGCCTAAGGTTTGGTTCAAGTGAGATAAAGCAGGCTGCGACTTGTGCAAGTCAGGGAAACAGTTGGAGAAAAGTGTCGAAAATAACTTGGGGCGACACCTCGGGATGTGTTTTCGGTGATTCTGTTCGTCGGCACCACGAGAGTTAGAACTGGGACGGAATTTCTTAGTACGCACACATAAACGCAGACGACCAGAAGTACGTGGCAACCCACGATTAAAAGTGGACTGGTAAGCAAACGCACGCAGATGCCGCTCCGAAAAATGTGTAATATCCAGGGTTCTACCGTGATTTGGTGAACGACAGCTAACAGACTGCATCAAGTTCAAATCAACAAGTGAGAGAAATTTTGGTGCACATCTACCCGGAAACCAACAAAAAACAAAAAAGGGGTAGCGAAAAGGGAGAAAGGAGATGAATTTCGTTAAGATAAACAGATAACGGTGCACAATAAACACTGACAAAAAACTACTGGCTACAAATGACTAAAACGGCAAATACCTTGCCAAAAGAGTTAATGGCGTAAGGAGACCCTGCTGGAGGAGGAACCACATTGTTCGAGACGTTTGGAGTAGAGGAAGACCGTTCCCTGCTGGTTGGGGTTAGATACTGGCGAGACTGGTGCTCGTGAGGTGTGACGAAGCCGGCATGCAGATAGGCGTCCGCCATACTGCCTCCTGGCAGACGCACCGTGGCGTCGCCCGGAGTGTTTCGATATCGCTTGTAGGCACCATGAGGTAGGGTCGCGAGGGTTTTGGGGGTTAGCCAGTTGGATCCAACAGAACCGGACGAAGTGGTCGGCAAACTAACGTAGTAGGCAAAGTTTGATCGACCATGAAATATCAGGTAACCGGAAAAAGACGAGGGTATGATGGGCACAAATCAACCCCAAAGGATGAATTTATGCTATCAATCGTACCCAAAACCAACGGCGTCCTCAGGTGATTACTGTGGGGTTTTCCGAACACGTATGAATTGTAAAGTCTCGAGAAAACAAAAATTATATGCTGTCAGGGCAATGATACCTAGAATCTAACGATAGACGCTGTGTACCAGAGGAGGTGCAGACCACAGTTAGATGGTGCTTCCACTATCCCAATACACTCCGTTAGACTCTACTTATCATACATGACCGGCAAGCGAAAAAAATGCTATGAGAGAAAACAGCCCTTGTAGTGGACTGAGGGTTTTTAAACGAAAGTACTGAACCGGATACCATCAGGTAGTACAGGATTTCCCCTAAAATCACGCTGGAATTCATAAGCGCATGGCATCGCGAGAAACTAAGCTGCGCGTCCGTCGCCTGAGTTGTGTATGCTGTCCAGAGAGGGAAACCGTGAGTATTATTTCTCAGCAAGAAAAGAACATCCTCGCAGTATTACCCTGTTTATCGGCACAAATCAACTAATCTTCGTGGAAAGAAATCTCAAAATTAACCATGCTCTCATTTACATCCATTTAGAGCACGATCTCACCTCAAACACACGACAACAAGACGGGATCGTCATTCCCGAGTCGGAACAAATTGCGGAGGAACATTTTGTGAGGGACCAAGTCCCGGAAGAATTCGATTGCTCGAGGCATATTCCTTATCCAAACGTATTATGAATGACCTGATCAGAAAACGCCAATTGGTAGGATAGAGATCAAACACTAATGTTTCAAGTCAAGAACGACATGAAAATCGTAACCGGAGGCCTTAATATGGTCCGCAGTGGTTGTTTTGGGATATCCGTTTGATTGAATCATCCCCCGTTGTTCTAAGAACTCGCCCTAAGGATCTGCTACCTGCATTACCTCTGGCGGAGTTACTTTAACTAAAATGAAGCGCTTCGGTTGGGTGATCAGGCAAGCAGTAGCCTGTCTGAAAAGTTGGCTGAAAGAATCCAAACTACGCAGGCGTGACGTTTCCAGTGTGATCAGTGAAGATGGTATAACTACAGAAACTGATTTGAGAGCTGGCAGTTTATTGGGGAATTAGTAGACGGAACGAGTGAGGAGCGTCCCGCCATCATCCAGAGTGCATGGAATAGATGGATAGTCAGTGACTTCATGAGGTTTCCATGGCTAACACTACCACGTCAAGTCCCGCCAACACAAGCTATAGACACCACGTTGAAAAATTGCGAGCGATTCTGGGGGATTTATCAACCAAAAAGCCACCGTCCAGCTAGTTCACCGAGGTGAGAGGCCCTTGGGCAGTAAAAAAGAAAATTAAAAGATTCAGTGACCTAGATAAATGAAACGACTCACTGAAATGCAACCGTGCAATCATGCTATCTTGCCTGAGAGAATGTAAATGTTTTCCGGGAAAACGTCAAACTCACTGTCGCGCACCAGGTAGATCACTACTGTAGAAAACTTCGTCTTCCAACACGGCGAGGCAAGTCATATCAGCTCGAGGAAGGCAGCGCTGATGATACACCGCACCACAACCTTTGCAAATAATACCTAGAATATGGTACGTGAATGAGCCTGGTCCAAAACGAGAGGAACCTTACCGTGAAGTATGAACTTGTGGCAGAGATTGCAGTGTGCCTTGTCAAAAAAGGTTTTCCGCTGAAATTGATGTTCCGAGCGCTTTACACTGCCTCTGGCAAAATCCACAATTAAATCCTCTCCGGCAAGTGCGATCTGGACGGCGTCATCCTCCCAGGATACAGGTAAACTAGGGCGGAAAATAAACAAATTAAATAAATAAATAAATAAATAAATAAATAAATAAATAAATAAATATAGAGAATAATCAATGTACAGTGCAGAACGTACCCTGAACGAAGTCGATTGACTACCAGTTGCTGAAGTTGCAGCCCTCTGTGGGAGAGTTTTTTTCCCAAAGCGTGTTGAATTTGCTGTCCAGGTTTTACTTCGACTAAGGTGAACTGATTGTTGGGTAGATGAGCTCGAAGCCGTAGTTTGTTCGTCTGCTGTCCGTGGGGAGGATAGTTCGAAGTAACTGGTGGCAGAATGACCTGTGGAATGTTCGGTGCGTTTGTACCCAAAGGCTGATTGGACTTTGAACTTCCGGTTGAAAGGTACTGGTCAATTCTGGACTTGAGTTCCTCTAACTCCCAAGAATATTTTTCAATGACAGCCTGGATACTGTTGATGTCGTTGGAAAGCTCATCATATTCTTTGGTAATCAAGCCGAAACAGTCCTCTTGCCTGTTGATGAAATCAACTAGCTGACAGGTTTTCATTTGCAAGGCCTTGTTGACGAGGTTGAAGCCTTTAATCTGAAAATAAATTCCACTGTGGGTTGAGGAGGGGATCACGCGTTTTTTTGCCGCGAAAAAGTGTGAAAGGTCAGAAGTGAAGCGGACGCTCTTCTAAGTTGTAGTAAATGGCTAAGTTTGGACAACAACTGCCCCCCAAAAGCAAACGTAACTATTTCGCGGGTGCGGCTAGCTTCTCCACTCCCGATTTCTATTGAGATCGGGAGGAAAACACCTAGAAGCAATCTTGTCCTAAAACACATACTAAGCGTCGGAGTACTTTCGACATCTATCTCCCGGGGCAAGCACACCGCTAACTAATCCGAAAACCAGTTTCTGCACCAAGAACGAACCATCAAAAACTTAAGTGTATCAGCTACTTAATACTAAAAGACTGGCATAGAGTTCGCTGCTGCTTCACGTGTTAGTTAATTGCTCATTCACCTAGTAAAGACCCAGGGCCAACACAGGCTCAACTATGGACAACTTTTTACATTCTAGCCAATCCAGTATCAACCAACGTGATTCATTCATATGCTGTTCGAAAGGGAGATGCTACATTTTATGGGCGGTAGGCGGCAGATGCAAGAATCTGAAGAAAAAGCATAAAACAAGGATCATCAGAGAACATTATACTACGAAACCCGCGTAAAGCTGTACTTCACCTCACATACAAACACTGCAGTAAGAAGGGAATTTTGGATCTGTAAGTTGTCTTTTTGAAAAATCACAATAGGTATGCACCAGTATTTAATGCCGGCGCATTCCTGTAGATGATTGTGACGCACCTATCTAAGTTTGGGTAACTTGTTAGTATCTTAGATTCATGCTCCCTTCGGACTGCATGACAGCCGTGCACAGTAGCATTGTAACTAAAAAATACGGCATGCATATAATTTGGTTCGACTCATCGTGGAACTTCACTTCAACCGGCACAGATCCAAACCCACCAATCAATGTTGGCACGATTGGGGCCTTGGCTCATATGTCTAGGAAAGTATTTCATATGAGCTGCCATAACAGGGAAAACGTGCCGATAAAATGTAACTCCAAAGGAGCATTTGTCAGTTTTGGTATACTATCAATTAAGCTCAACATTTATTATTTTATTTTTTATCTGTAACACCCTTTCATTGCATAGCTGCCACGCCGCCAGGAGGAAGCATGAGGGCTGGGATACTGCTAGGTTGCCGAAGCCTAGACAGAAGCAATCGAGATGCCAGGGTTGGGTTCGAACCAGGAACCTTCCAGTCAGTAAGTAAGCACCTAAACCACTTATCATTCCGAGGTCATTTTAACACCGTGAACAGTAACTTCGTTCGGATAAGCCAAGACTCATCTTCAATACCAAACAACTCCCATTCGCGATCCACCCAGCCATCTTTCGTTTTCCACCGTGGTAAATGCCCCTCTCGAATTTGTGGCATGCTGTAACCCCGATGACACCACCATCACAAAATGTACATTTGATATATGACACCAGTGTCAGATTTTGCACTTTCCACTTTGTGTAAGTCAACTAGGTCCCATAAGTAGTGCAACTGTACTTTTCGACGCTATTAACCGAAAGCATCAGAACGACCTCAAAACTCCTCTTCACGTGACTCATTAGGCTACGGGAAACTATCCCTAATACAAATGCAATTTTCAAATCACTACGCTAATGTTACTGCGCACAAACTTGCGCTAGAGTAGAAAATAAGGCAAATGGAAACCCAGGGAATACGTCTATCTGAGGAGCCCCAAGAGGGGCGAAACCGGGAGGGGACTGTTGAAGAACTTTAAGTAACCTCAGGGGTGGTGTGTTAAGTTAGAAAAGCATACTGCGATATACTGAACACCATACCAACTTAAGTGAAACGGCTTTCGGGCAGTACATTCAGTTGGAAAATACCACAAAATAAAGGTTCAGTGGAGTCGTTAACAACAAAGCGACTTGCAAATGAGCGCATTTCGTTAATTGGTCTAGAAACGTCTATGAATTGGTGCTATCAGATCCGGTAATCGATGTAATGCTATAAGATCTTGTATTCACATCAAAGGAAGCAACGCAGTCAATCCTTAAGCGTCAGAACGAACTAAAAAGTAAGCCTGAAGTCGGATGCAAACCAGCTATTACTCGAAGCTTTACCCATACTGATGGGTGGACAGGAAGGATAACTAGAACAGCAGCGTGCAAGTAGTGGTGCAGCAGAAAATATATCAATTGCGCCAACGACCCTTACAAAATTTTTTCCTGTGCCCAGCAGGGCTTTTTGAGCGTAATACCCCGCACGAAGGTGAATGCAGTAACAAATAACGGTTAACTCAATGTAATCCTCACCCACGATATTGAAACCCCACAAGCTGGAAAAGATTATGCGTAGAACCACAACAAAAACGACAATGCTTACTTTGCTATCTAGCAGACTGCAGCGTTGCTGCAGAATGGCGAAGAGAGCTTCACTACTTTCAGCCATGGTTGGGACGAACTTCCGTAGTTTACATCACCAAAGCGGCGAAACATTTAGGGAGAGGACCAGCAAATGGTAAACGTTCTGAAAAGTCGAAGGTAAAGTGATACTACGAGAAGGCCACAATGTACATGAAATCAAAAGACGGGACGGTAAACAAATGCCCGCGGGGTATCCGACATCAAACAGTGCCATAAAAGGGAATTGGGCATCAAACATAAAATAAATCTAAAAGCTGTGGTGGCAGTACTGTTTACGGCTACTAACTGTAACGGCAGAAGTTGGCACTGGTGCCTATGACAAAACAGTTGACAGCTCAAGAGACCAAGCATCTTTGAAAACAGTCGAACACCAAAGGTGTGCTGCAGGATGAGGAGAAACGACGAGTCAGCGGGGGCACTCACATTTGAAACACGCAGTAGCGGCACCATCATGCTCGGCATCGCCTTAACTATTATGGTTGAAAACATCAGAGTGGAGACTCTAGTGATCCAGTGCTACTTGAACACTTTGTGCATAATGTGCAGTGAATAGGTGATACGATACCCGATCGCTAAGACGCCCAAAATCTGAAGACAGTCTGCTAGCGGTTTCGTCCCGTCAGATGGGCTAAACCCGAAAAATACGAGAAAATCAACCTCGAATTGAACGGTAGTTTCAGGGCAGCTTACCCGTTGAGTACACAGACATGGTCCCTGCTTAGAAAGATAGCTCCCAATCCGATCAGGTTTACTGCTTGTCGCTGAAATGCCCCGCTGATAGGGTCGTTACTTAATCACCTCGTTTTCACTCGCCAGATAGTTGAACGGAAAGGGTCCTTCAAGGAAGATAGCTTTTTGACATTCGGGGCGCATGACTGAGCGTTGCCGGAACGTTGATTTCTCTAAAATCTGGTGCAACTGAATTCGGCCCACTTCAATTTATCAGCTATTAACCGTAAGCTATAAGCACATCATGACTGAGCCGGAACGTTGATTTCTCTAAAATCTGGTGCAACTGAATTCGGCCCACTTCAATTTATCAGCTATTAACCGTAAGCTATACTATAAGCCGTCCCAGCTGCTACGATTTCAATCACCGCAAGGTGGGAGAGTGTGGGGCATACAGCCAAGCATTAGAGGCAATGTTATGTTCAGTTAGTTCTGGAACTGGGTAGCTACGCATTGAAGGCGATAGCTTTGATCATCATCAGCAGCAGCATCATCGACAGCATGACATCAGTGTTGAACACCGATGCTTCACTGCCGTACAACCATGACTTATTTGAAAGCCTTATTGTAAAGAAAAGAATAAAGGTGGACGGGGAAGGGACTTAGTGCTAGCTTAACACAATCATTCCGAGGTGCCTACACCTCCAGACATTCACTCAGGCAATCTGGATAGAAACTGACAACAAGAACGCCACTGACATCGGTTGGCAGCCATATCCTGTAGTGTCTCCAACCAGGCGCAGTGAAGATCACGCGGTCCCCATCCTGGAAGGCGAGTAGAACCGAC